GGTGGCTCTGGTTCTTTGCACAGCTGGCCTTTCCTGGGTGTTGCCCATTACTCACACTCTTCATTCTCCAGCCCCAGAGCACTGTATCTGTTACGTAGAGGCAAGAGGAAGATTCCTCTGCCTCCCGTGAGGGGAGGCAAGGGTCCGGTTTCCTTTGGCAGTGAGTTAGTCAAGTCCATCAGCTCAGGGTTAGCAGCAAGCTTACCTCCCCCTTGCACAGACGTAGGGCAGGGCTGTCGCTCAGCCTATGACAGCACACGATGCCACACATCCATCTCTCACATCAGTGCCCGGATACTGCGCTGCCTGTTAAGCTCCTCTTCTAACACAGCTACTTGCTCGAAGAATTCATCCAGATGGGCACACTTGCACCCACCACACCCACCACTGACTTTCCACCCTAGGGGAACTTTCAGATGCTGGAGGTTCCATGCAGCTCAGGCTCAGGGCAGTTCTGTCTGTGCATTGGTGTCCCCAAAGGGAGACTGTAGTGCTTCCATCTGGTTTTTACCTTCAGCCTAGCAGTTGCAACAGATGGACACCATTTTGTTTCAGTAAAATGCTGCCTCCTTTTGGTTCTCAGAAGAGAACAGCCTGCTTTCCAAAGGCACCCTCCTGCACAACCTGCTGCACAACCTGCCTTGCCATGCCCTGGCTGATGTGCCATGTCCTCTTAACAGCACTCCTGGTCTGTAGAACTCCTTAAGGGTTGCTTTTTCTAGGCGTGGGAGTTGTTCCTGTGCATGCCAAGCCTGGTCAGCTGCTCTCACCAGAGCTGGGGGCTCGTGGCAGGTCTCTCTGCTACCCTGGGGTTTCCCCAGTTCAGGAAATTCACCCGTACACCGCGATCCATGGCTCTGCTGTGAAACATGCCAGCACCAGAGCTGATCAACTCAGCAAGCGACTGCTAGTTGACATTACAGAGCATTTAAATTTCCCCCTTTTGCTCCTTGCCACACCATCTTGCTCCTTGCCACTCTTGTAAGAATGTCACCAGAATGAGCTGAAAAAAGTTTTGTTCCTAAAGATGTGGTTTTCACAGCTGTGTGCTCGCAGCAGAAGGATGGGTACTCAAAAACACTAGGGTTAAATCCCAGAATGTAAGTGCAGCTATCTATACAAATCTTTTTGTTACAAAAGTCCCAGGCTGTCCTTGACATACTCCTTGTTATTTGCATGCAAATAAATGCCTTTAACAAAAAAATAAAACAAAAAGAACACACAACCACCACCTACTTCTTACTTCATTGCACACAGTTTTGGTCCTGTCCTTAGAATATCCTCTCACTCTGCTCTTGTTTTCAGCTCACATTGCAACCTTGATACTCGGAAGCTGATGTTCCTGCCGCCAGCTAATCTCCCAAATCCCAATGTCTCCCTCTAAATGCTTTTGGGCCCAGCAACCACACAAAAGCTTTCTTCAGTTCTCCACAGCCTGCTCTGAATGCCAAGAAGGGTAGATACCTCCTCTCTCTTAGGTGACAGCTATTTCAGCACAGCTTTTATAAAGCTCTGCCTGTACTTACTTGAAAATAAGCAAAACCAACCTCACCACTCCATTTTTGTCTAAGTAGCCTCTAAATATAAAATGTATTAGAAACTTTTGAAAATGCTGTCTTACGTATAAATTGATCAAATGCTTACAAAGTTCCATCAAGGAATCCAACTAAAGGACAAACTTAACAAATAACTTGTACCAAGCTAAAAGAACACCAGGACCATCAAGAAAACTATGTTAAGACTTCTTAAAAACGTATGCAAAACACTTCCTCTATTCTATTTAGGTTCAGCTGAAAAGCTTGATTTATAATGTGTAAACATGTGCCAAAATAGTTGGAAGTTGCAGAAACATTTCACCTCAAACAATGAAACTTTAGACTTTTAGTAAACTTTAAGTACATTTATTTAGTAAACTTCTAAACAAATGAATCATCAACTGAAATCAAACCTGTATAATAAACTTTTGCTAAAGCTAGCAGAACAGCTTCTAGCAATAAAAAGCCCAACTTGTTAATAAGCTGTCCATATTGAAAATTTCAACAGTAAGGAAAGCGCTAAAAAAATAAAATCCTGTCACATTAAATGTAACATTAAAATTCAATAATAAAGAAAAGTCATCCAGGATGCTTTTTGCTTCATAAAAGGTCTGCTCATGAACTTACCCCTCCTAGTTCTTTGAGGTCCTTCCCTATTTTTTCAGAGATCACATTTGATGGAATATCGAGGTAAAACACCTTCCCGGTGAGTGGTTTATATTTCAGTTTCTCTGGTTTTCCTACATCTTTTTTCACATTCTTCAAAGAAGATTTTGTCTTTTCTGTTTTTGCTTGCATTCCATCTGCTGCCAAAAGAAAAGGGAATTTAAACAGAATTGTATTTCTTTTTAAAAAGAAAAATTCCTAAATTACAGAAATGGACAAGGCAAGCATCCACGCAATACAGGACACTTTAAAAAAAAGCTAAATGTTAAACGTGTTATTATTTACGTTGTTTTTGACACACGTATAGCCCTTACAAGTTTTTCCCTAAAATCACATCTTAAAAAGGACTTTTTTTTATTTCAGTTGTTATACAGTGCCATCAATTTTCTCATCCAGGTCAAAAGACAATGAGACCAGGTCAAAAGTCAAGGAAAAATCAAAAGTACAAGAGCTAGATCCTACTATTTATCTAATTTTTGAGCACCCAACTGAGATGCAGGAATACTATGCTTAAAGTTCAGAATTTTATCTATGACTTTTTCTGCCCTAGCAAATCTTATTTTAAAACTAAGAGACCATATACAGCTATTAAACTGTGCTGATGATCTTTCCTGAAGCTCAACACAGAGCCTTTCACCCAAGCCTGCCAGAATAGATATTTAAGCAAATAAAAAATTCAGCCTGGGTAAGAAACAAGCCTTATTTCACAAGAGAAATCTGAAGTATCACTCAGTAAACTGAATAGCAATCAAAAAATGGAAAAAGAAAAAAAAAAAAAACACCAAAAAAAAAAGATAAGAAACAAAATAAAATGGACAATTTTATTATGCCAGTTTTAACTCATGAATCACCCATAACTTAAATACCACATGCAGTTCTAAGAGGAAAAAAAGGTAACACCAAGTTAGGGAGAAAAAGCATAAGTATGAGGAAAGACTGTACATTAAGACTTTGTCAGTCTGAAGAAGAGTGAATTGGGGGAAATATAGCACAGATATACAAAATCAGAAAGAACATAGAAATAATGGTTAAATAGCTTATTCCAGTACAAGAGCTACAGGGCACAACACAAAACTAGTAGTCAGATATAAAACGGAAAACAGGAATTGACAGTCTATGCAACGGGGCAAGCCTGCACAGCCTGCTGCCAAAGGACACTGTCAGTACCAAGATGTGATTCTGAAGGAAGGCTGCACAAATAGATGGAAGAGGAATACTTTTTGAGGGATCCTAAATACATAAAAGTGAACTGTAATTCATGAAATTCCTGCAACTAAACACAGCTGGAAACTAAAATAATATTATCAGGGGAAAGTGATTGCACTCTCTGGTCCTACAAACATCCATTATATGAACTGATTTACAACCTGTGACGGAGAGGCGATCATCCAAAACTGGCATATCACTGGTTTTATATGGTGGTTTCTTCCTCACTGCCCAATGCCCTACTCATTACTTCTCTTTTAGAGAAGTTCAAAATGGACAGAGGGTTGCTGCAGGAAGTGAGCAAGCATCTTCTGGAGGCAAAAAGCCCACAGGGAGAACAGCCCCTGTGTTACTTATTCTTTCCCTCCCTGAAAGTGTCTCTAGCAGGGAGAGGGAGCAGAACAACAACTGGTGCTGCTATGTTCTCTAAGTTATGGTTACAAACATGCAAAAATGAAGCAGGAATAGCAGTCAGTTTAGTAAAATCCAGGAGACCAAAAGCAAATCCAGGAGACCAAGAGAAACAGGAAGCATGGAGACTCCGGACAGTGCAACTGATTTAGAAGCTAAACAAAAAAGAAGGCTGAAATGTTGGGTCAGAGATGAGCTGAGCGCAAGCGAAATTCCATAGGGATCAGATGTTGTGTTCTACCCTGCACACACGAGCAACAACCCAGGGCAGCGCTGAAAACTTAACGCACTGAATATTGTAATTTTTATTGGAAAACGTGTATTAAAATTACTAGGGAAAAGCAAAAACGTGGAGCTACTTAGCAATTTTAATTAAGACTGACGTTTTAATAGTTTCCCTCGCAAAGTGCCTGCATTTTAACTCTGTGGCCCTAAGGTGCCCGAGGCCCCTCTCGTGCACGTCCCTGATACCAGCGAGGCTGTGCCCGGGTGGAGCTGGTTTCAGGGCGGCGGCCTAGCTTCTGCTAGCGCCTTCACCTCCCCAGCAAGGCTCTTTTTGCGCTTAAGTCCAAACATTATGCAAAAAAAAAACGAAAGAAAAAAATAATTTAAGCGTGTGAGTGCGAGCGTGCTAAAGCGATGCATTCCTGGAGCGCCCCTCCAGCTGGCCACGGCCACCCAAGGCCACCAGAGGCTCACTCACCGCCAGCCTCACAGGGCCTGGGCCTCACAGGGCCGGGGCCTCTCAGCACCGGCTCCCCCGGCCCGGCCTCAGGTGCCCGCCGAGCGCCCCCGGCCCCCCCCCAGCCGCCCCTCCCGGCCACTTACGGGTCCGCGCTGCTCTGGCGGTGCCGGGCTTCATCGTGCGGCGGGGTCACATCCTCCTCCACCGCCCCGTGAGGAGACCGCGGGGGCAGCGCCGCCGGTATGGCCCCGGGACCCCCTCGGCAGCCGTTGGGGTCCGGCCCCGTCCCCTCACGGCCCCGCTGCCGGCCGCGCGCCGCCAACGGTCGCTCCGCGTGACGCGAGGTGAGGGGAGAGCGGGAAGGGAGCGGGGGGCGGCGCCCAGCGTGAGGGGAGGGCGGGGCGCTGGAGGGGAGGGTGGAAATGGCGGCCGTAGGGTTATGGAGGGGATCTGAGGGGTCACGGGTTTCGTGACTGGCAGCTTTGCTTCCCTCACAGGTCCCAGCACCACTCGCTCGTCTTCAAAGTGGTCTTAAAATAAAGCGAAAAGCACGTTGGAAAAGGCAACCGTCCGCAAAGTAGCGCGTTAGTTCACCAGGGAGACGAGTCCTTACGTGCAGCTTAATCTTCCCACCTTCCCTCTTAAACTTAGCAAAAGCAAAAAAAAATTACGATCCCATGGATCAAATAAAAAGCGTAGATCAGTGCAAACTAACAAAGTCACAATTGCGCTTAGTATGTGTGCATTTTTAAAGATATTCCTCTATTTCTGATTTTTTTTTTTGTTTGGTCCAGAAAATTGGTTTATTGTATGGTTTTGGGGGTTGTTTTTATTATTTTTATGATTTTATTTTCCTGTCCGGCTAGTTACAGATTCTAAAAATATATATTTTATATATATATGTATACATATATTTATGTATGATATATATAAACATATTTTTAGATCCCATGTATACATTTCAAAGGTGTGCAGCCGTACCTTGACTATGCAGCTATACAGCAGGATTTGTCCAAGGAATTACTATTCAAAGACACCATTAATGCTCATTAATGCTAGTTAGTCCCTGTTTATCGTGTGAGCAGTTTGCCAGGAAGTCATCACCAGTGGGCTGCAGCTTGGATCACCAGGAGACCTCTCTGGATTTTCTGACAGGAGCGACAGAAGGAAGAGGAGGGCTAGATGAATTATTCTGCTGTGCTACAGTTTGTGGGCCACAGGCTGGGCATTTGTCTCTCTGCAGATAATTTGCAAGATCCTAAACCCTTTGTTGCAGCAAGAGGTAACACGTACTAACTATTTAATGTAGTTTACAAACAGTCTAAACATCGCATTTCATGTAAAAAGGTTTGGGAAGATTTACTGTAATTTAGAAAACTTGGATTGTATGAAAAGCATCATGCAAGTACTCTTGGAGATCCTTCTGTACAGGTAGAAAACTAATATTTAGGTTATTACTGCTTATGTGCAATATATTAATGGAAATTAAAAATATTTTTTCCCTTGATTCTTCTGCAAGTTTTGAACAAAGTCTTTCAATATATTTTTCTGTTCCTTGACAGGTTTTTCTTCTCCAAGGATAAAGCCATGTCTGAAATGAGTAATAGTAACTTCAGTAAAACAACCAGTATTCAGCAAGCAATAGCTTCTTGTTGTGGAGCTATAATTACATCATTATTTGGTAAGGCTTATTAAGCTTGCCACAGAGAGAATCTTTGCAAAGTGATCACTCTTCAGTTCAATTCAGCAAGATGTCTGCATACATATGGTTTATAAACTTCTGCTAATATGTTTAATAAGGGTGGTTTTAGATAGTTTTCTCATAAGTCTTTTGTATTTTAACAAACATGGTGGTTAACTGAAATCTTTCTTGTCCTTGGTAACTGTTAACCACTACTGAAAATAACAGTAATTTTAACTCTTTAATTCTATGTCTTTTGGTGTGGTAATTTATTGCCTGCCTTCTGAAAGTTCTCCATACTTTCTGCTGTTTAAAAATATATTTTAAATAAAGGTTTACTTTACATTAGAAAATGAATCCTGCAAGACATGCCACTGTGAAAGGTTCTCTTCATGTTAACACTTCAGTAGTAAGATCAATTTATTTGCTGTGGTGTCCTATACTGTCAAAGTTTTTTTATTGTTTGTTTTCCCTAAGCAGTTTTAAGGATAGCTTTTTGATAGTATTTCAAAATTCTGGATAATCTGGATACCCCCACCCCAAATCTTCCAAACTTTTATGAAATAGGATTTTACCTAGGACCTTGTCAAAGTCATACTCTTTTTATTCTGTCATTATACCACGTGTCCAGTGATGCTAGGCAAATAAAACACATGCTAGAGTATTTGACCTAGCCTCCAGCTGCTGCTTAATAAAGTTGTAGATCTTGTGTTATATATGTCAATGCTATTGATATTTTGGATACCTTACAGACTCAGGTGGCACTAGCTGCTTGTACATAGGTAGCCGTGGGTCAATGTAATCAGGAGAGGCTGAAGAGTGGTCCAGCTGACACTGCAGTGTTCAATATCTCTGCCTGTAAAAAGATCAAGTTCTGGAGGGAAATCAATAAAATGTTCACTAAAGCTTCATTTACTTTTCAATAGCTCTAAAGTTTTGGATCTCCTCTAGACAGAGGAAAGAGAATCACAAATTTAACATTTTTCCTTTGAACATTGCTATTAAAATCAGTTTAACAAAAAAAATAAACATATGAAAAGTGCTGAAATATTTTACTGTAAAATAAATAAATAAATAAAAATAAATAAAATGTTGTAATATTTTTTCCTACCATCACAGGACTTACGGTATAATGACAGAATGCTTGAGGCCAAAACCTTATCTTACATGCCTTGTGGTATACCATTTACAAACCATTACCAGTAGAGCATAATAGCACAACTTTTAACACTTTCATACAAGATGACACAATGGCTTTTCGAAGAGCTTTTTGTTTCTCTAAAATTTGTTGTCAGTGCAATTTTTTTGTTTGTTTGTTTGTAGAAGTTCATGATGAGGCCTCTATAGCTTCTTTTCAGAGTATACAAGGTTTCTAAATGGCTCCTTTGTTTCATTTTAGTAACTCCTCTTGATGTTGTCAAAACTCGACTGCAAGCCCAAAGCAATCCATTCCCCAAAGGTAAATTAAAACGTGCTGTAATTGAGGACACTCTTCAATCTTTGCTGTTACACTTACAATTATAAAAATGCTGAGCGGCAGAATGACTTTATTTTTTTCCAATAGTTACATTTGTTTCTTCAGAGTCAATGGAGGAAAAAAAAAACAACTAAAATTGTTAAAGAAAATATGTGCCACTGAAAGTGGCAAAACAGTGATAGTGGAAAAAATCTCATAAATATATATCATTTAAAATAGACTATATTTTCTCTCTTCCTCAGTATTCTCATTGTGGAAGAAATGTATGATTATTACTCAATTGAGGAAAAAAAAATCTATTACTAAATAATTCATATTTCATCAGAGGGCTTATATGATCATGATGCTATATCAAAGTTCCTCTCCTCCAGAATCCAAAGAGATTTGAAAAAGAGTAGTGAGTCTTACCAAAGTCACTTGTCGCCTAGGTTCTTGATAGATTATTAATACATTGTGTACTCAAGGATATGCCAATGATTTCTACTATTTAATTATAATTAATCAATGACATTAAAAAGGAAAGGAAACAACTTCTGTGGAAGTTCCGTGTTGTATGTTGAGATGAATATTTGCAGTCAGGATGCATGTCACTGTTGCTGCATTTCAGCAGATGGTAGTGTAACATAAACTTGTCTCCTTCTGCAAGTGCGAGCAGTTCCATTTAGTCTGGCACTCTGAAAAGTACATTTGTTTTCTCCTTTCTTTTACCTACGTCATTGACATTGCCTTTCCAAAGTTATTTTGTCCCTGTTTGTCTAACCAGAAATAAATCTATCTTACTACTGTATCCAGTTTGGAACTGCTGCTAAGTGAGAACGATCTTACAATTATTAACTATATTCTTATACACCATTTCATTAGGAAAGTGTTTTGTATACTCCAGTGGCCTTATGGATCATATGTGTGTTTGTGAGAGTGGGAACAGCAAAGGCTGGTATAAGAAAAATGGGCATTTCAACGGGACATTGGTAAGAACAATCCATTTTTATATTAAATTGCACATTGTAAACATTTTCTAAATGGCATACTCTAATTTTATTTATTTATTTTAAGTTCTAGTAGAACCTTTTATCATTTGAGAGGGTATTCATGCAGTTACACTGTGTAGTTTAGATAGTGATTAATGATACCTTCATGAAAATACAAATTCCTTTCATAAGACAAATAAGAGAGCGGCTGCACAGCATTCCTGACCTAGTACTGTCTCTAAAGTTTTATTTTCCCCATTTGAACTATATTGCTGATAGTTGCTGATTGCAGGTACTGATTGTCTCTACCTGTTTATGTCTCTTCTGTCTGTAGACTTCCCAGTATGTTCTTGAAATGAATGAATGATGCAGATAGTTTTTTAAAGTTAAGTTCATGTGTCAGGTTCTGGACCCAATGTAACTTGTAAGACTTTTTAAAGTTAAGTTCATGTGTCAGGTTCTGGACCCAATGTAACTTGTAAGACTAGGACTTACCCAGACACCTGAAACAGAATTGATGTCAGTGATGTCAATGCTGCCTCATTAATCAACATTTTGTTTGACTATGCAATTAAATTAGGGATCAAGGATTTTTCAGAATTAAATATTTGAGAAGAATGAAATGTTCATGAAATGTCTACTTGAATGGTTTTACGGTGTTATATTTTTTTTTAAATTAATAACTTGCCTGAAGCTTTCAATTAACTTTACTGTATAATTTTTAGAAAACAGCTTAATTTTCTCACTGACATTATTATATGCCCAGTTTTGCTATGACAAGGTAATTCATGAAAAATAACTGTCATATCACTGGACTTCTTTTCATTAAAAAAAAAAAAAAAGTAAATAACAACAACAACAACAAAAAAGTAAATAACAAGACCTGACCAATTATGCAGTAAAAAAAAAATGTTGTGGACATTGTCATTTGCCAACACTAGAACTATAAAAATGTTCTGCTGTATTTGCCCATACAAGTATTAAGGTACATAAATAGGGTGCACAGGCACTGGATTTAGTTGCATTTTTTCTCCAATTTTCTATCTGTAACTTTCTGGATTGTATATTTATTGATTCTCTGTTTATAATTATATTTATTTATATTTTATTTATGATTTACTTATATTTATGTATGTATACATTTTATATATTTATAATAATTATTTATACATATGTTAATATTTAGCATATGTTTGATACTGACAGATACAGAATAAACAGAGAGAAAACAAGATACTAGTATACCTTTTTCTCAATTTTTCTTTCTCTAAAATGTCTTTTTTTGTCAAATTGTGTTAAGACATTTGGGGTATCTCAAAGCTCCATTTTTTCAAGTCAGGCTTGATAAATTGTCTCTGTTTTCACCATGCTCAGCTCACCTGTCCATCAAGGCTGTGTCCTCTAAAGCTCTTTGCCTTTTTCTTCCTTTGAGTCCAATTCAAAGTTGTTTTGTGGCCTGTCAGCTCTGTATCTTCTGAGGCCTTGTAATAAGGGCATACTGAGCATATTCTACTCCATCAAATCTCAGTTTCTTCCCCCAAAAAGGTTTAAGAGTATTAGGTATCCTAATATTTGGAAGTTTGTCTTTTGAAGTTTGTCTTTTGAAGATGATTTTATTTGAATGTCCTTCAAAGTCCAGTGTTCCTCTGCTGTCAGTGGATTGGAAAATGCATGGGACAGCTGTGATAACAGTTGTAAGCTTCCAGGTATATAGCATGTATATAGCTTCCAGGTATATAGCATGTATATTTTGAAAATATTTTGTCGCCTTGTCAGAGAAAGCAAGTGTTGAAGAATCAGGAAAAGTGAATTTCTATTTCATATCTAGAAATTTTGTTATTTACTGAAAAAATATTTTAGTTGACTGGTTTGGGGGAGTTTCCATACATTGTTGCTGTGCTGTATTTGTTCTGAAAACAGCTTATTCACAGGGCTGTCAGTAACGAACAAACAAAAATTTTCTGCTTTGGCCCAGTAAAATTTGAAGGAAGTTCATAATTTCAAGCACAAATATTTCTGTTCACATCAGTGGAACCATTTGTATAATTAAATTTGATAGCTAGCACAAGAAATTACAAAATTATGATCCTAGAATGATAAGCAATTTTAGAAATACATTTTTAATAAAAGCTTTGCAGCTAATTATTATTCTTTGCCTGGTTATATTTTTTAGGATGCATTTGTAAAAATTATTAAAATAGAAGGAATTAAATCACTGTGGAGTGGACTTCCACCAACACTGTAAGTCGAATTTATTTTTTATTATTGATAAATATTTATGGATTGTGCTGTCAAAGTTTACTTCATTTTTAGAAAAATAAGTGATTTTAAAACTTTGGTAAACATCTGGAGACAGTATAATCTCTGCCAGTTCTTGAAATTTCTCCTGGAAACCTCTTTGATGTATTCCCAGTACTTAAACAGGGACATCAGTCTTTTCATTCTGCCTTTTAGAAGTGGTAACCTTACTGTAACTACCCCCTTGACAGCATTAGCAGATCACAGGATTGAACATGATCATCAGAGAATGTTAGACTTTGACACTTTGACAGATATTTGCTGTCCTAGATTGTTACTGATGACCTGCAAAAAGCAACACTGCTGTTTCCACAGACACTCCAGTCTTGTACCTCATTACCCATATTTACATTTTTTTAAAACATATACCTTGAATCTTCTTGCAAATAACTATATTGTTTTTTTGTTTGGTTGGTTCTGTTGTTTTTGTTGTTGTTGTTGTTTTTTTTTTTTCTGTCCAACTTTGCCATGGAAAGTACTTTTCTCTCTACAAGAGCAATTTATGTATTTAAATATTATCAAGTCTCCACATGACCTTCTTTTTAGGACAAACAGCCTCAATCTGATTTGTCTTTTATTATTATATTAACCTGGTACAGATAGTAACTAAGACCTCTGTAATTATGTCTTCCTCCACAAGTGATCCAAGAAAGTGGTCAAATGTAACATGTATTAAAATTGCATCTTGTAAAACACTGAATGTTACATAAGAGTCATCCCATTCCTAGTCACAGAACCTAGTGGAACACACTGGCACACTTCTTATTAAATCGTAAGTGTTGATTAAGATAGAGAAAACAGTCTTTCACTTGTTAAATGAATAAAAATGTAAGGTTAGTGAGGTCCATAAGGTTTGTTTGCTTCTTATTCAGATCTTTCAATTCCATTCCTTTATTGAAACAGTTCTGAAGCTGACATGAAATACATTTTGGCAGATAATCCACCATCATTTTACTTATTTTTTTCCTAATAATGTGAAAAACTAGAAAACTAGGAAAACTAGGAAATTTGTGATTTTGAAACTGTGAACTAGAGGCAGTGAATCAAAGCTATGTAATTAATGATTTTTCTTTATACATAACAGCTCACAGCTAAAAATTTGATTTCTTTTTTTCAGCAAAATATCCACACAAGATGGTTGACTTTAAGCTCCTGCTTTCTTTGTATTAATTTAAATTCCTTCTCTTTTATTTTAGAATAATGTCACTTCCTACCACAGTGATCTATTTCACCTGCTATGACCAACTGAGTGAAGCTCTAAAGTCTAGACTAGGAAAGGATAATGACCACATTCCAATAGTTGCAGGTTCCTTAAGCAGATGTAAGTACCCATCTGTTTAAAGCAAAAAATGAAATAAAATACCTGTGCGCTCTTTTATTTTTCTCTTTCTTTTTAGTAGCCCAAAATGACAATTGGGCTTGTACTGGTTTTATTTTTACTATATTTGCTTTTATATTTTCTTACTTTTGTTTATCCTTTTCCCCATCTACTGTAAAAGTAGCTTGGGTCTTTTGGAGCTTTCTTAGAAACCTCTGACGGTGTAGTTCCATATTCTACTTGTGACAGCTGTGAGAGCGAATGGTAGAATAACAACTGTTATGCTGAGGACCTTTGCGGCTTGGGCCTGTGCGAACCTCATGAGGTTCAACAAGGCCAAGTGCAAGGTTCTGCACCTGGGCCAGGGCAATCCAAAGCACAAATACAGGCTGGGTGGAGAATGGATTGAGAGCTGCCCTGAAGAGAAGGACCTGGGGGTGTTGGTGGCTGAGAAGCTCAACATGAGAAGAGAAAGCTCCAGGGAGACCTTACAATGGCCTGCCAGTACCTAAAGGGGGCCTACAGGAAAGACAGGGAGGATTTCTTTGTCAGGGAATGGAGTGACAGGACAAGGCGTAATGGCTTTGAACTAAAAGAAGGTAGGTTTAGATTAGATATAAAGAAGAAATTCTTCACTCGGAGGGTGGTGAGACCCTGGCACAGGCTGACAAGAGAAGCTGTGGCTGCCCCATCCCTGGAGGTGTTGAAGGCCAGGCTGGATGGGGCTTTGGGCAACCTGGTCTGCTGGGAGGTGTCCCTGTGAATGGCAGGGGGCTGGAACTGGGTGATCTTTAAGGTCCCTTACAATCCAAATAATTCTATGATTCTATGAATCGAATATTTAAAGCAATGTGAAACCTGACTTTTTAATGTTCGTGGAATATTAATAGTAAATCTCAGTTTTTAAACAGCTCACATTTCTCTCATTTTCAGTCGGTTCAGTTACTGTAGTGAGCCCCCTGGAGCTGATCAGAACTAGAATGCAGTATCGGAAGTTGTCCTACAAGCAACTGCACATGTGCATCAGCAGTAAAGTGGCGAGAGATGGGTGGCTTTCACTGTGGAGAGGCTGGAGTTCTACTGTTCTGAGAGACGTGCCTTTCTCAGGTGGGGTTCATTTCAGGTGCAATATTGTGTTATGTAAGACATGTCTATTCATGATTACTTTAAGACTTTTTCTATTTTTTATGTAATTTTAATGGTTATCTTTAAGAAGGACTGAGATTTACTTGTTATCATTTGAGTGCTTTCTCTTTTTTTCTTTTTTGTGTGTGTTTGTGAATGCCAGATAGGGTTCTTTGTTACTTGCTTTTTATCCATATTCAGACTCTTTTTTTCTCATCTTTAGCTTATGTAATGAACACTTTTGAAGACTTTCAGTAGGATTTTTTTTCTGTTGTAGGTATAGTAGCTATTTCCTTATAGAGGGACATGCTGCATCTATGTGTTCTGATCCTTGATCCTGAAAACATGTACAAATACATGTGACACACTAGGGTGACACACTAGTGTCCTCAGACATTTTTGTTACCAAGATGAAATAGTTCGTATAACTGTTCCAAAAGAAGATGAAGCTAGAGCACAACTTGTTAGTGAAGCTTCAAAGCTGAAAGTCTAAAAGTAAAAGTCTGATCCAGAGCATAGCTAGTCTTATTCTATTCTTTAAGATAACTGTAACGGGGGAAATGGTAGTTTCTCCCATATTGTTAAAGCTCTGCTGTCTCTGGACCTACAGAGGTAACTGGACAAGACTGCTTAAGGACAGTGTTCCCAGCTGTTAATGTCAGCGGTGAGAACCCTTCCCTGTCAGAACACTTGTGGATCATCAAGCATCAGTTGTTTTCTGTTCCTCGGGAAGTATCAGGAATAACAACTTTGAACACTTTGTGTTGGCCCCCCAAAAAATGCTTCAAACCCATTTTTGGAGGCAGAAAACCCTTGAAGGATTTGTCCTGGAATCTTTGTTCTTCTTTGTTCTCTTATCTCATTCATAAAATAATCCAAAGTCTAATTTAATTGGTGCTTCTAAACAGTCTGGTGGAGCACTCATTGGTTTGAACTCCTACGGGATTAGAGTACATTTAGATGCAGACCTTGAGAAAATTTTAAATTGGCTGTGAACAAAGCAACTGCATGATGAGTGGGGATGATTATTTAATTAAAAAGGACACTTAACTTAGTTCTGTTAACTCATTCAACTGTTATTTCAGCTGTTTTGTTTTCAGAATGAATAATACCCTGATTTCTTTTGCTTTGTGACCTGTAGGAGTTTGAAAAATGAGCTTAGACTGTATTTCCTGCTTAAGGATTGTGGTCCTCAATGGGACTTAATTTAGCCTTTTGTCATAGGGGAGGCTTCTGAACCTGTGGCAACATGCTTTCTCTAAGGCTTAGATAACAGAATTCAGAATGCATCTGAAGCTTTTGCCTAAGGGGCTTCCTGTTCCATATTTATTTGTAATTTACTTGTTTTCCCTGTCTTCCATGTGCATCATTCCTTTAGGCTCTTCTGCTAAGCTTCAGAAGGCAGCTCTAAAAATTTTCATCTGATTCCTGTTGTCTGAATTCAGGTAGATACTCTTGTTCTCTTACTGATTTTTGTCTGTATCAACATGGCAGGAGCCAGTCAGCCTTTATTACTTTTAACACAATGGAAAGAGCACTACAGTGACGTGTGTGTGTTCTTTACAGATTCTTACATCCATGCCTGCTGTCCTTCCAGCACTCCAAAACCTCTCCACTGATTTTAAGTCAATCTCCATGCTGCTCTGGCATTCACTTAAAGCCAGCGGGCACTTGTCTGTGCCCAATCCTACATAGGCCCTAGTGGGATGCTGGAGAGGCAGAGGCATATGTTAGCATGCAGCTACTGCCTTATAAGTTAAGGATTATCATTAAAGAGCCAGGAATAAGTAGGCAATTTGGTGCATGAGTGAAGGAAAATGGATTTTGTTTTAATGCCAATATTAAATGCCACAAAACTCTGATGACATAAAACTATGGGTGTTTAATCTTGATTAATGCCATTTCAAAACCTATTTTCTAATCATTTTTTTTTCTTTATAAGTACTCTCTATGCAGTCAAGGTGTGCTCCCCCACTACCTTCAGTCATAGCACTTTTCTTTGAGTGATATACCAACAGCAGGCTGCTGGTGTTTTTACAGCACAGTCTGTGCCTTTGCTGCAGTTTGCTCAAGTTAGTTTTTTCTAGAGGAATTAAAGCCAGTGTAACAATTTGTATTAAGAAAGAAGCTGCTCTTTGAAAACACTCAGGTAGCACAGAATGACCATACCAACAGCACAGCATGATTAGAACCCCACTGTGTTCTAGCCCAAGTGTGAATGACATGTTTCAAGAAGGTTCCCTGGACAGCTAGCTGACTAAATAAAACTTAAGCTGTGGATGTCCATAAGCACAAGAATTGGGTTAATGATAATAGTTTAGTCATTCATCAAGCAATGTTACAGAGAACATAAATGTGAAAGGTATGCAGGGAAGGGAATCTTGCAAGTGCTCAAAGGCTTGGATTTTGACAATTTATACTAAATTAGGGTTACATACATTTCACTAGCAGGTTTTCCTCAAACCCGTCTGAGATACCACTTACATTTGCTTTTGCAAAACTTTGGAGGCTTGTGGTTTCCACAGCAAGGAAACGCTTTGATATATCTCTGCTGCCACCACCTACAGAACTCAGTGCTGAACGAGGCACAGCCACCTTTCAACTGCAACTGTCATTTGTAGCATTTATTTAACCAACTGCAACCAGGAATCAGCTCAGTAGCATCTGCATTCTAACTGAAACTCAAAGTAGAAAGAGTGTAGTTTATTTCATCAGAACAGAAACAGATGTTCTTCCTAGAAGTTGCACCTCAGAATGCCTCTGTGAGGACTTTCAAAGGCAAGCCTCCCCTTAGTGATTCCAGAGAGCAAAAACTTATTTCCTGCTTGTGCCAAATGAAATGCTATACTCTGTGTCTCAAGAGTATGAGACAGCCCTGAGGAACCTTTCATCTTGTATGAAACACGTTTTTGTAGAATTAGAGAGATCTATGAAATGTGTAAAATATCCCTGAATACATAGGAAATAATCAGAAACTTACTTGTCGATTCATACTAAATCACATTTACAAAAAAAAATGTTATATGAGTTTTGCAGTGCTTGTGTTAGATTGTATTAAGGTAGGAGTTACTTTATGGGAATGACAAAATGATCAGGGTAATTTGAATTATATGAAGAAATTTGGAATATGTGTATATTCCAAAGGGAATCCCATAATGGGAGCTGGGGGAGCTATCAATGGATTGTAACAGAGAACCCTTTTAGTTTGTTTTCAGCTTTTGTTTCTCTTTGTTCCTGTTGTCACAGTAGAATTCTTGCATCTTCAGTCAGTAAAAGAATTGTACTGAATTTCTGTGTTTGAGATACCAATGTGCTGTAATGCAAGGTTTGTTTGTTTGTTTGTTCATTTGTTTTATAACCATAGCAATGTACTGGTATAATTATGAACGCTTCAAGAAGATGATGTGCAAGAATCTTGGTGCACACGAACCAACATTTTTTATTGCTTTTACTTCTGGGGCAGCATCTGGCTCTGTAAGTATGTCTTTTTGTTTCTAGTTCTACTCTTATTATTATTGCTGATAAGCTATTTATAGTTGGTATGGTTTTGCATGGTTCTCTCAGAAACTATGTTTGTTTTGGTGTTTAAACACACATGGCTTGGCATTCAAGTTGATTAGGTATATCTGAATAATTTATAATGTTCTGAGATACAAGACTTCAATAATATCAAGTGCTAGGAATAATAAATCTAGTTTTAACGTGTGTATGGTTTAATGTAATTTTAATTAAATTTCAATTGCTGGTGATATAACATTTAAAACTATATATTTTTTCTTAATAGATTGCAGCTGTCATAACTCTGCCATTTGATGTAGTGAAAACACATAGGCAGACTGAACTTTGGGAGAGTGAGACCTTAAAAAGTAAGATGCTGTTAATTACATTGTTACACAGCTTTCTCAAACTGTCTTCAGCCATGTTTGTTGTTGAACACCCATAATTCTCTTTAGTTCAAATTGCTCAGCAATTTCTGTAGAACTGTTTAATAATAATACTTGTGTTCGATACATTCAATGAAGCTGGTTCTCTTAGCAATGGTAAAGAATTAAAAAATAAAACATGATATTTAGGTATATGGATTTTTGGTAGGAATTTTAAGTATTTCTCTTCTAAAGTTTATTTAAAAATTCTGTTACTAGGCCTTTTTTCTTTTCCGAATTCTTACACCTTATAGGATAATTTTTATGTCCTAGGATAAATACAGTATCTTATCAATGACAGAGAGTAGGAAGAAGGTGCAAATAGAGTACCATGTATATGTATATGATGGTATAAAATACACACACAAATATCTAGAACTATCATAGTTAGTCAGACCAGCTGCAAATTTATATACATTTAAGTAAGTTATTTATAAATAGGGAAAATCTTCATTTAAAAAAAAAATCATATCATCAGTGCTCTATTGAAATAGTGTTTTGATTAGATTAAAATAATTGAAAATATATTTTCAGATTCACTATCAGTCAGTAATAGAAAATAAAAATAGTACTGGAACTCTTATGAGCAGTTTATTTCAGAACAATATTCTTTAATTAAACTACAGAGAGAAAGTTCTCTGCTCAGGTTCTGTATTTTTTACCTTCTTTTTGTGTGATTTCAAGTAAATTAATTTTGGGGGTGTTTTAGTGACTACTCCAGCAGCTCTAAAGGATTTTTTTAATGTGTTTAGTAGAGCATCACTACATTTTCTAGCAATTCAAGCAAGTTGTATCTAAAAACTTTTTTTTTTTTTTTCCATTATTTGGGACCTGAAACAGAGGACCTTCCAATAATGTGAAAATGCATTAGATCGTGGCTTTAAGATTAAATAACTTTAAAAAGACTGAGTAACCAAACATTAGTTTCTGCTTAGAAACTAATTTAAAGGCCCTAGTTCAGAAAGATGTCATGAAATCTTACTGTTCACATTTTGACATAAGGTTTCATTCTCTTGGGTAAATTATTTGTTTCTGGTGTACTTCTTGAAAGACATGTTTCTTTTGCAGAACTATCAAAGACCAATAAAAAATAAATAAATTGTTACTGGGTTTCAGTTTTTCCCTTGTGCTGATGAACATAAGAATTCATTGGTAATATCACTTTGAATCACAGGTAGCTGCCAAATATTTATTTGGCTGATATTAACTAGATATATGTTCTAAATCACAGTGTGGTTAGCTACGCTTTGTACTAGTTAAGTTCTTTCCAAATCCAGTTGTTAGAGTTGGATGCTGACTATGCATCTACATATTGTTTCTTTATGGCTGCAAAAACATTTTGCAGCGTTCTATGAAATCATTTTAACTTTCAGCTAGGGAAAAAACAACAACAAAACAACAACAACAAAAAAGAACCTTTGCTACTTTTATATTACAGATCAATGAAAAAAGCATGCGCAGAGTGAAATAGCAAAAAAAAAATAATAATCCTTTGTTTAAAACAGTTGCATATGTCTACAATGCAGTGGTATTGCTGCAGTTATGTTGCTTATGGTATCTAAATTAGCTCTACAAGGGACTGCAATCCACCTCTTATAGACCTATACTTTCTTAAACTCAACGTTTTTTAGGGATTTTATTTTTGTAAACTTAGATGTAAAATGTAGTGTCCTAGGCTTAATTATTATACTCATTCTTAGGATATATTCTTATTATGTTAATTCTCAAAACTTATCTTTAGATTCAGTTTACCGTAAAATGTAAACTGTTTAAAAACCATATTTAAAAATCTGGATGACAATGCTCTTTTAGCTGCACATATAAAAGGACATAGAGAGGGACTGGCTCATGTGAAACCTAGCTAACTTTTCTTAGCACTGTCAGTTATTCTAGAAAGGGATATTGTCTCTGTTTGTGTATTTTACCCTATGCATTAGTACATTTTTTTCGATGTCAAGCTATTTTAATTTGAATATTATAGGAATAATTATACTGTATGAATTTAAGATCCTGTATAAACAGTATGGGTAAAATTAACATAAGATAAACTAAACCTAATCACTACATCTGAATTGACTGTCTCCGATTTTTAAAAATATTTTTCTGTTTGATTCTGTGTTATTTAATTCATTGTTTTGTTGTACTATGTTGAGTTCCACAGAGTGCATCAACCTGGGCAGTTATGAGGAAAATTGTCACTAAAAATGGGATTGCTGGATTATTTGCTGGTAAAAACTTTTGACATCTTTCTAACAAAACAAAACAAACAAACAAACAAAAAAACAAAAAAACAGACAAGAGAGATAGCATTTTAATTAACACATCATTGTTAGATGTTAACATGCACAAAATATGTTTCCTTCTCTTTGAACACTGTCAGTTATGAAATAGATAGTGTATATAAAGCAACACATGAATACCCACAGAGAATTCTGTGCCTGTCTTTCCCCGTTTCAGGATGCAGGGCTTCTTGAACCTTTTTTTGTCCTACCTGAGAGGTCAGTAGCCTCTGCCTGCCCCACGCAAGCAGCAGGTTTGCACTGCTGCTTGTGGGAGGGCACAGAGTCTGCCCCTGGGGCCACCTCATCTGCACAAGAGCAAAGCAGCCCTCAGGTCAGGCTGCTCCACCTCTGTGGGGAGACAGAAAGGGCAGAGAAACAATGCACCTGTGTCAGGCAGGCCACACAGGATGGCAGAGGTGAGGTCAGAGTATTCTGACAGTGGTAATGCCTCTGTCAGTAATGTTGGTACGCTGAAGAATGCAGACACGCAGAATCCCAGTTCTACAGTGTTGTACTCTGGAATCAATACATTATGACCCCTAAATCGTACTAGTGTTTGACTGAAAACAAATGAAAATGAATACTTTCTTTTCTGGGCAGGTATTGGTCCACGGCTGTTTAAAGTTGCTCCTGCCTGTGCCATAATGATCAGCACATATGAATACGGGAAGTCTTTCTTTAGTCATTTAAATGAAAAATCAAACCAACATCCTTGATTCTTCTTCATCTAACTGTGAGAAGTCAAAACATATGGTGAAACTTGTGCCAAATCTGAATCGGTCAAGGCATCTTTCTGCCACTACATTTGGTACCTAAATGCAACTTTGTTCACTTCCCCCCCCCTCCCCTTAAGACTAGGAAAAATACATGATCTGGAAACTGTCATTGAAAATTCTGTGACTTCTTTTGCACTAGAGCGAAGAAAAAAGAGGTGTTGTGACAGTTCCTCATTGATGGTTAAAAGGGGAAAAAACACTCTTCATCATTGTGGACAGGATTAACAACTGCCACTGTTAATTTTCAATCTGATTAAATATTTTGCTGGATACTTAAAACAGCGTTTATAAAATATTTAGGCTTCCATTGTATGAATTGGTTATCCTGCCGTAAGAAGGTCGATACAGAATGAATTCAATAAATGCTCACTTATTCTTGGTTAATATGTTTAATTTTGTGTATGTTTATTTGAAGCTCTGTATTTTGTGTAAATGCATACTTTGCAGTCTTCTCAGATTCATCTAAAACAGAAAATGCTTTAGGTCAAATTGGAAAAAAATACACAGTGCCTATTAGAAACCCAGAGAGCATGGTGAATATGCTGACAGGTGCTGCATTGACCTTTTAGTTTAAGATGATATTTGTAGTGTGTGCACAACCTAGGAAATTGAAGCACATGCAGGCACTGAAGCCAGCTGCCTGTACAGGTGTTGGGGAGGAATACGCCCTTGCATTTGTGACCTGTGATAGCTTGCACATTTCACAAAGATTTAAGACAGAGGAAGGCTCCGTTCCCCAATATGCCATTTGCCTGGGCTCACCTGGTTTTGAAGACCAAGTTTGCTGGTAAAAACACACATGGTTCAACACCTGTTTCATTCAAGTGTATATCCACCCGAAGGCAGTTTCCCAGCTCTGGCTAGGGTGCATAGCACACACAGCACATGAACTGTTGCAGCCTCTCCCTTGTGAGTAGGCACTTATGGAATCAGAACTTCTTGCCTCCTCAATGCCCCCCCTCCTTTCTTCAATGCACTTTCAGTATAAGTGCTTGATATTTATTTTATTTATTTTTTGCATATTTCTATGTGCTTTACTGAATAAATAGGTGTCAGTCTTACTCGGTTATGAATAAAGTATCCCAGTGGGTGTTTGGCCTTCATGAAAATTCAGCACACGCTGAAAAACGCTTTAGTAGTAAAGATATTATGTACAAAGTTTACAGCATATGATGCAGAAAAGAGGTACTGCCCTAGGAGAGTTTGACACTGTTACCCTATTGTGATTTCCAAAGTACTTTTAGGCCTTCTTTTGAGTTTCTAGTAGAAGAGAAAGAAAGCAGTAACAGCAGATTTTGGACCACACAGCAACAAAGTCTCCCTGTTTTCCAGAAAGAGAATTTGCTGCAAGCCCACTAGTACTGTAGTTTGCCAACGGTCTTATTTTGTTTGATTAAAACAGAGACAAAAACTAGTAATTAGCGATGATACAAAATGTTTAATTTACATGCAACATTTATGGAACGTCAGGGCAACAAAACATACAGTTTTGGCATTTTTTCTTATTTTTTCTTTTTTTTTTTTCTGAAAAATGATTCATGTTTAGAACTGAGAAAGACACACACAACTGATTTCCCATGCACAAAGCGACACCCAGAAACTCACAGTGGTGTCAGACTACATAAAAGACTTCAGTTAAATGACACATGAATTTCACACCAGTAGCTCCAAGAAAAGAGCCATCAGCTAACATGACTAAAGATCATGATAATAGCCCCCTCCAAAATACTGATGAAGTGGGAGAAGTGTTTAACAGCAAACAAGACTGATTAAATCACTACACCTTGATGTAGTATGTTAACTTCTGGAATCCACATTCCCTCATTGTACTTGTAGTAAAAATGCAACTCTAACTTACAAATTAGTACTTAATAATGTTACTCAACTGCCATGAGAGAACATGTACTTAATGCAATAATCAAAGAACAGTTACATGAAGTAATGTATGTTCTGACAGTGTATGAAAGGACTTAAAGTTTATTACAGAGAAATTAACTGAGTGGGTTCACGAGGGCTTGAAAGTCAAGGCCTGTGGAATTTTCTAAGTTGCTTTAAACTTTTCCATTAAAATGGCCTCTGCATTCGCTTACCCATCATGGATGCAGTAACCTCCAGCACTGTAGACTACAGATGAGACGAAGCATCTTGAACCTCATGCAGTTAAATCCAACAGTGCCTTGAGTTCCAGAGAAATGAAGCCCCACACTTACAGAGGCTGTATGTTTCCTGCAGTTTTGGTAACAGTAAAAATGAATTCTCTCTTTCAAGCCCATTCTAAGAAGACCGGACTGTTGTAGTAGTGCCAAGGTACCATTACAAGAGGCAAATCAACTAAAACCATACAGAGTGTAGTGACATACTGTAAACATCCGAGAGTAAGCAATTAAAAATCTGTCTTGTATTGCAGCTACTCATGTAAACAATTTATGAAACTTCTTTGGCACAAAAAAAGCATTTTCCCTAGCACTTATAAATACAACATACTTACATGCACTTAAGTTTCTTTTAAAAAGTTACTAATCATATTGAGAAGCATTACCTTGATTAGCAAAATTCTTAGATAAAGGATCCATTATATCTTACAAAGAATTAAGAATATAGTTTGCAATTCAAAAATTAATTTGCAAACTTCAAAACCGTCGGGTAATCTGGAAAGTTACTTTCACTTAAAAAATGTTGCAAGCTTTTTGTATCTGTAATTTAAATAAATGGCAAATCATTTGAGAAAACGGACTTAAATAAGATTTGCTGTATTACCTAATCAAGGAAAATACCTATTGCACTACTACAGGAATGAGAAAAACCTTTAACATGAGAATACCATTACACTGTCTTTGTTTCCCCTTTTTCAGTCTCCTTGGGATCTTGCCGATAAATGTGTGATCCAAATTTCCCAAGGTGCTAACCCCACCATCCTTAGTCCCTCTCTTTCTAGCAAGGCCAGTAAGCCAAAAAATTCCTCATAGAGTATTATTTGTAAGCCAGGTCACTCAAAAGCTTGAAATTTAGCAAGTTTCCTCAATATTTACAAATTACTAAGTATGATTGATTTAGATGATCAACTTGTATTTGTTATTCTCATGCAACTTTAAGAATTACTAAGAGTGTTTCAGTGTGATTCTTCAGTGCGATTCAGACATCTTGTAAGTGCCATGATGCTAATAAGAATGCAAAATCTAACATTGAATCAACTTGAGAAGAGCTCTTGACAGGTTAAATACGCTATTTGAGGTCCTATGCAACATACACAGATGAAAAGATGGATTTTTAAGTAAAATATTTGCCTACAAAGACTGGCATTAAGGATTCCCTGTGTTTTCTGCAAGAGTTAATATTTAAAGCACTGCAGAGAAGCACTATGGCTATAGTAGGGCCAGGCTGTTAACCACTGCAAGGAGAAACAAAGGTCATGGCAGTTAAGTAGGGGACTGATTTCCAACTGCTTCATTTTAAAAATCAGCCAAAAGTGTCAGAGTATATGCCCTGTACCTGACTGAGAGTTTTAAATAATTCAAGACTAAAACAGAAAATCTGAAAAAGTCCTCTGGCAGGAAAAAAAAAAAAACAAACTTGAATGAAAAGAGAATTTGTGAATTAAATTGGTAACTGTGAAAAAAAAATAAATAAAGCAGCTTATTTTTAACTTAGAACTAGCAGTCTCATTGCAAGTCGTATTATAGAACATAAACCAAATGCATATAACACAAAGCTCTTCCTGTTCGTGTGCATCTCAAGATGGTGTTAAGCCTGGACTCGTCATCTCTGTTGTGGGACTCGCAAGATATTCACTTGATTTCAGACTTGTTAGAGATTTGTAGCTTGCTACTGAAGTAAGAGAGCCACAAAGGCCAAGCAACGATGGAGTGTCCTCCTTCCCTGTTAAGGAAAACACAGATTAATCTAATCATTACAGCACAAGATGATCTGACCACAAACAAAAAGGGAATAGGAAAAGAAAAATAATAATTTCATCTAAACTGTTACATGTTCCTGCTTCAGCACATGCATTCATCACAAATGCAGTTAAGGAAGAGATGTTATTTATACCTTCCCTATTCCATGCAGAACAGAGATTTGCATTACAGGCTGGGCTGGTCAGTCTACATGGTGAATAGAAATTACTAATTCAAAAACTGGCTATAATTGAGTACATTATAAATGAAAATGATATTACTAATACAGTATCAGTACCAGAGATCTAATTTTGAATCCCTGGAAAAGCGTAGAATTATCTGGAATTACAATGTATTTTTTCACAAAACAAAATGTTTTTGTTCTTAGTAATTTGATGTGAATTACACTCCTGACACTGGAAAACGCCCTGCAGTGTAACAGTGGCAGTGCAAGCATCTACCCTGTCATCCAAACACACTTAACAGTTAACAAGAAACATGCTTAAAAGGTATGTGTGTACCAGACAATTCCTTCCTTCTCAGAATAGCCATTTAAGTTGTAATTTATTAGCTGAGCTGGCACAAAATAAATAAATTGATTATCAATATCTCCCTATTTCACCTTCCTGTCTCATCTGCAGAATAAAATAAATCATCTTAAACTTGAGTTTAAAAGCAAGCAGCTTAAAAAGGTAACTATTTGATAAGATAAAGAAAAATGCTTATGCTATTTTCTGTTCTGTACTCAAAATACTACTATTTCAGAAGTCTTCCCGAATTTTTCTGCTTTTCACAGTTGCCCACAAGATGGAGCAGTTAAACTTTGATAAGCATACAGATTTTGAAGGGGGCGGTATATTACATTTATGTTCTAGCACAGCCCATATCATGTTTTTTGGTTTTGTTTTCAAAACCATATGCATTATCAGGCTGCATCTCCACAGATTACCACAAATTAATGTTGAAAGCAAGATGTAAGAATGACAGTGGTAGTTGCAAATCTAGTGCCTTTAAATTTTCTTTTAAAAAACAGGAGTGGGATTAAGGTTTGATTTAGTTATAGCAGGAAAATGCCTTTCTCAGGTTATGTGATGTATCCATCACATAAGGAAGACAGGCTTAGCCTAGCCTTGAACACACCGCAAAGTCCTGTTTAGGAATGAGAGGGACTCTTGAAGAAATGCAGACTTAATTGAAATATAGTACTTAGAGAAACAGAAAAAAAAAGCATGTAACGCCAGAGAAAAGATGCACTTCAATCTCTTTCCCAGACTGAAAATTCACCTCATGGGGTTTGAAGATCAGAACCATGAAGAATAAAAGAAAATGAACCCACTGGCATAGCTCTGTACCTTCATTTAACAAGTTTATTCCATCCTGCTTTCCATCTTGTGAGTGGCCTGGATCCAGAGAGGTTTGAGAAAGACTAACATCTGCCGAAAGTTGGTCCAGACTTTGAAAACTTTTTCTGTAAAACAAGTAATAAGTTTAAATAATA